CTGATTAGCAGTGGGTAAATAAGAAAGATCAATAAGCCCTTCAAGGATTCTTTCTCGAGTGAAATGACAATCAATTTCTATATGTTTAGTTCTTTCATGAAACACAGGATTCCGAGCAATTTGCATAGCTGATTGATTGTCACAATGAAGAGTAACAGGTTTTAAATCTGGGATCTGCAATTCTTGAAGCAAACGCACCAACCAAGTAATTTCAGAAGCAGCCTGGGACATGGCTCGATACTCAGCCTCGGAGGATGACTTAGAAACTGTGCTCTGCTTCTTGGATTTCCAAGAGATAGGGGAACCGCCAAGGAGAATGATGTAGCCCGTAACTGACCTTCTTGAAAAGGGACAAGAAGCCCAATCAGAATCAGAAAAAGCATGAAGAGAAAGTTGGTCAGATCCTGTCATCAAAATGCCATGGTCCACAGTTCCAAGTAGGTAATGAAGAAGATGAATGGCACCCTGCATATGGGCTTCTTCTGGAGTTTGCATAAACTGACTCAGAACTTGAACCGAATAGGAAATATCAGGCCTAGTGTGGGTAAGGTAATTAAGCTTCCCTACGAGGCTCCTGTAAACAGTGGGATCTGAGCAGAGTGGAGATGCACCAGGCTGAAATTTAGTGTGCTGAGGAAGTGGAGTCTTCAAGGGTTTATCATGTAGACAATGATGTTCAGCAAGCAATTCTTGTGTGAACTTTCGTTGAGGAAGTATAACCCCTTCTGAAGTATAGGTGAACTCAAAACCAAGGAAGTAATGAGCAATAGCAGCAAGCGTGATGTGATTGGTGGTGGATTTGATAAACAGACTTGGATCAGATTTGGATTGAACATATCCTTGCGTATAAAAAGCAGAAGACAACTTGCTGAACCATTGTCGACTAGCTTGACGAAGGCCATAGAGGGATTTCTTGAGACGACAAACTTTGGCATCAGGATTGGGAAACCCAAGGGGAACCTTCATGTATACCTCATCCTCCAAATCTCCATGTAAAAAAGCATTATTAATGTCAAGCTGATATAATTCCCAATGTTTTGAAGCAGCAAAGGCAATAATGCACCTGATAGTGGACATCTTCACTACTGGAGAGAAAGTCTCAGTGAAATCAACTCCATATCTTTGATGGTTCCCTTGGATCACAAGCCTGGCTTTGAATCGTTCCAAAGTCCCATCAGCTTTTAGCTTAACTTTGTAAACCCATTTACTGCAAATGGCCTTCTTCCCAGGAGGGAGATCCACAAGCTCCCAAGTGTCATTAGCCTGCAAAGCTGTTATTTCATTGTTCATAGCAACAATCCATCGAGGATCAGTGGAGGCCTCATGATATGAGGTTGGTTCAGTATAGGAACAAAGGTGAGTAAGGAAAGCTTGATGAGCCTGAGGTAAATCATTCAAATGAACAAAATGACACCAATGGGAGGTTAAAGCTTTAGGTTTGTTGATACTGGGGCAGTGATATTCTTTCAAGTATGAAGGTGGATGTTTGGCACGGGTAGAAATTCTAAGTGGAGGAGAGGAAACTGGAGATGAGGAATGTGAAGGAGAAACTGAAGAAAGGACATTAGAAGTTGTGTCAGAAGGTATGGGATCATTTGGAACATTGGAGGGAGTCTGTCCTTCAGAAGAAGATTGAGGTGTAGAAGGAAAGAATATAAGGGAAGAATCAAGAGGTAAATTGGGAAGAATATGTGAAGGTGAAGAAGAAGATAAATGATGAAAAGGAAAATAATGCTCATGGAACTGAACATTTCTGCTGTAAAATACCTCCCGGGTGTGTAAATTTAGAAGTTTATATGCTTTCTTGTGAAAAGGATAGCCAAGAAACACACAAGGTTGAGCCCTAGGAGCAAATTTTGTTCTATGAGAAGACAAAGTTGTAGCAAAACACAGACAGCCAAAACTCCTAAGATGAACATATGTAGGAGGATGTTGAAAAATGATTTCATAGGGAGTTTTATGATTGA